CTTATGAACTTCCTATAGTATCCTAACAGACCTAGGAACGACTTTATCTGCTTCCTAGTCTTCGGAATCTCGAATCTTTTTATCGCTTCGATCTTTCCTGGGTTCGGTCTGATTCCTTGCTGGGTGACTACGTGTCCTAAGTATTCCACTTCTTTCCTTAAAAATTCTGTCTTGTCTAATTGCAACTTGAAGTTTGCCTCCGCAAGCTTCTTGAAAACTTTTTCCAAATCCGTTACGTGTTCTTGCAAGGATGTCGAGTACACCATAATGTCATCCATATATATAAGACAACACTTTCCAAGCAACTCTCCGAAAACATTGTTCATTAACCTTTGAAATGTTGCTGGGGCGTTATTTAGCCCGAACGGCATTCGGACATACTCGAAGTGACCCCCTTCTGCCGAGAAGGCAGTTTTCGGGATGTCTTCTTCCTTCACCTCGATCTGGTGGTATCCACTCGCCAGATCTAAAGTTGAGAAATATTTAGCCCTACCCAAGCTATCTAATACGTCATTGATTAATGGCATAGGGTATCTGTCTTTAATTACCTTCTCAATGAGTTTTCTATAGTCCACCATCACTCTCCATTTCCTCTCTCCAGAGGCATCCTTTTTCTTGGGCACTAGCCACACCGGCGCACTCCAAGGAGAATGGCTACGTCTAATGATTTTCTGCTCTAACAGCTTTTCTAATTGTCTTCTCACCTCCTGTCTTTCTTGGAATGCATACCTGTACGGTTTTGCGTACACCGGTATGTCGTCTTTCGTTCTAATTTGGTGCTTGACCGCATTAGTGAATGACAAATGGTCTCCTTCTTTGTGGAATACTTTCGGATATTTCTTACAAATTCGTTGGAGCTCTTTAAGCTCCTCTCTATTTAAGTGTTCCGTTCTGATCTTATCGAATGGTATCCTCCTATTTTCATTGTCTGTCACCTCTATATTGTTGAGCTCGAAATGTTGGTCAGTTTCGAATTCAGCACCTTCCAACGGCTCCTCCAAAAATAATTCCTGGTCTTCCTCTGCATAGTTTGTTATTTAAACCAGGCTCCTTCCAGCCACTGCCCTATAAATTCCTTCTGAAATTATCAAATCCTCCTTTACTATTGTTTTGTTTAACAAAAAATCCCCATCGGGTACCTGTACCGGAAGAGGAATAACTGACTTTGTCCCTGCTTTTATTGAGTGGACCTCGCTGGGCCTATACTTAGCGAAATGTATCTGCAATTCTGTGTCTACCGTACGGAACCGACCTTTCTTAATATCGATCACGGCTTTCATTTGTTGCAGCGAATCTATACCAATTAAACCTTCAAAAAATTGGTGGAATTTGAAAAGTAATAACCTCATTTTTCCTACTCCTCGAATTCTCTGAACATTGGTACATGTGCTTCTTGCAGAATAGTGTGGGACTGTGTAATTGTTTTAATGGCTATGGGGTCTTTCAGCTCCTTCACGTACTGCGATTAAGCTAATTCGGGACGAATGAAGGAGTAAGTAGATCCTGTATCAATTAGTAACTTTATTGTTTTTTGTGGAGTGATTTTGATCTTTACATATGGTAGGGTGGAGTGACCCCTTCTAGTTCCTAAATATCCTGTTGGTTGTTCGAGGCTGATTGCGAAAAATTTGCATCATCCTCTTGAATATTATGTAACTGACCGCTTGTCGACGGTCGATTCCCGCCCCTCTCTGAGTTGCTGCTCTGAGTCGAATTATATGACCGTCTTGAATCGGTCGTGTTATTCGACTGCCTTGAATTGTTCGAATTATATGACTGCCCGGAAAAGTTCGAATTCCTAGTCATTCTAGTCTGGACACTGCCTTCTGCGTCGCCAGCCGCTTGGATGGCTAGCTGGCCCTCTCTAGGCTTGTTGTTGTTATAATTATTGTTTCCATACCACTGTCTGCCTCGACTATTCTGTCAATAATTCCACTTATTATTCTTGTTTTGATAATTTCGGTATGGTCTTTGATAGTTGGAAGTTTCTCCTTGATTACTACTGTCTGTCCTGAATGGGTTCCCCATCATTGGATATGGAAATCCAAATCCTGGCCATCCATTCATATTTGGTACCGGAAACGGCATTGGGAACTGCGGTTGGGCATTAGCTGCCCACCGGGATTGAGACCACATGCCAGTTTGCGACTCCGGCCCTGGATTGTCTTGTTTGTCCAGCTCCTGTTTCGGAGTTACTTTACCCTCTTTGGTCTGGGTTTTGGTCAGTCCCTGGCCTTTTGCCTCTTCCTGTGCTTCTTGTAAGGTACCCAAGTTTTTCTCTCTACAAGCAATTTCGTATGCCTTGGCTATATTGGGCACTGATAGTTACCCCTACTGGGCTCTTCAAGGCTGAAACGAAAGCGTTTAACGCCATTTCTTCGTATTATTTAATCTTCTCGCTCCTCAACAAGATGCCCTGCTCATTGGATTTAATTAGGCTCACTAGGGCCTTCTTCAGGGTCATCACTTTCGTGTATAGGGTTTCCAACTCTAATTCCTTTACCTTAATATGATCAACTCCATAATAAAATCCTGCTCGGATCTCTTATCTTTGAAATGAGTAATTAATATTTTCTTTATTTGATCCCAATTTAATTCCGACTCATCCAAGTCAAGGACTTTATCTGCTTGTCCTATGATCTTACTCCTTACCGCTCTAAGAGCGATTATTCCTATATTCGATCTTTCCTCCCCTTTTATGAGGCTCAGTACCTGTTCCACTGCTCCTATAAAACCGTCTAACTTTCCTGCCTCTCCTTCATACTTCGGAATGATTTCTACCAGGTCTATTACCTTAATAGCTTCTAACACGCTTGTTGTTGCCATTGCTGTAGGCCTTCCTTCTTCTGTCATTGGTTTATGGATTCGATTGCTTGTGCTTTTGCGTCTACTTTTAACTTGTTTTTGCTTCTCGCTTATGTCTGTGTTTGTTTCTTAATTACTAGTGTTCTTAAATTTGTATGTGTGTGTAATTGTGTACTTATTTTATCGTTTTAGTTATATAGGTTATCTTCTGTTTGTTGGTAGTGTGTCGTGGTTCAACGAGCTTCCGTGTGGTGTAATGGAGTTCTGGAATTAATTTAAAATGAGTACTTTTCTCTTAATCGATTTTTAAAACAAATAAATATCAACAATGGGTCTCAAAATTTTATTATTTATTTCTTATTATTGTTATTGCTTCCCTGTCTTCCTATCATTCAAACTCATCGAAATAACTACGATTGCTGTATATTTATTTTTTATTTATTTAATTATTTTTTTATTTATGTCTTTTTTTTTCCCCCTCTTTTATTGTTACCTGACATGCTGAAGCTAGCCGATCGGCTGTGCGATACAACCTCACGACCAAATGCGGACAGACATTGCCCTTAGGGTATTTGTTTTGGCCATCCCCATGCTACGCGACTACCCCGTTCTCTACAGTGTATCGCCTAATACATGTGGATAGTCCCTTATATTGTTCTTGTTTACTAGTACATCACCTCATCCCCATGCTAAGCGGCCGCCTTGTGCATTACAGTGCACTGCCCAATACATGTTATTGGGTCTATATAAACTTTTATTTTAGTTGTTCCATCGAACTGGTACCTCCCTTGCTAAGCGACCGCTCTGCTTCCGCAGTTTGTCGCCTAATACAAATGAAAGCCCAATCCGATAGTACTTATTATAAATCGACATTTCTTCATATTACTTTGCCCCCTTCTCATGCTAAGCGGCCGCCCTGTGTAACACAGTGCGCCGCCTAATACATGTTAAAGGAGAAAATTTATTTATTTATTATTGTTTTCTAATTATAAGCTTGCTCCCGAACTCTAGTCTGCTACTCTACATCCCACTGTGCCTGCACCGATCGAACCGCTCGATTCTCTTCTGTCTTGGCTTGAATTTGCCGCCAGCCGTTGCCAACTCGACACGCGCTGTCTGCAACCTCCCGGCATAGAGTAATGAACTATATAGAGGCGCCAATTGCTCTGCCGCTCTCTTTAGATAATGAGGCTATGATGCCACCTAGGCGAAAAATGCTTATTTCCCCTCTTTTTGACAAGTTCGACCGAACTTGTAATTCCTTCCCACCTCATTCTGCACCGCTCTTGCTCACTGTTTTGTTTTTGTTTTTAATCGAAATCCCTATTGCTGTTGCTTCGCACCTAAGTTAGCTTCAAACTTGGCCTTGAATTGGCTCTTAGCAGAGGTTGGGCAGAGGTTCGGGCAGAGCAATTGAAACCTCTATATAGATTCTTACTCTATGCTCCCGACTGTCATCACTCAAGAACGAATACCACCAATGTCGTAGCACGAGCTGTCTGCAACACGTTCCATCCGCCCTTCGTTGGCGATCGAACGTTCGACCGAGCTGTTCGGTTCGCATCGAACCATCGACAACCACGACCGCCTGCCGACACTTGTCGACGGCCGACCGTTCGATCGAACCGGTCGACGCAAACTCGAACCGTCTGTGCTACACTCGAACCTTCCATTTAATTCGCGAAGACGAAGCTCTTGGTTATTAAACATTTTCACCTGTATTTTGGTTTCTTATTTATTTATTTTTATTTTTTTTTTTCTCTCTGCTGTTGTGCAGCTTCGGTCCTTTGCACTTGTCCTACACTCCCCTTTACATTTTTGTCTGCGTTTGGAATTACTGCCTTTATTTCCATTTTTCATAACTTGTTGCTTGCATATTTTTATTATTTCTTTCATTTATTTATTTCCGTATGCTCATTGTGTTTAGTTTTATTTTTATTACTATATTTTTTTCTTCATTTCAGCTTTATATATCAAGTGTTTGTTTCTAGCTGCTTGCCAAACGTAGGGGCTTAGGTGGGGGACCGCCGATAGAATGTGCTGAGGCGGTAACTCGCGCGCAAAAAATTTTTGTAATCTAAGCAATTTTTTAATCAACACAAATGCCTAACATGCCCAAGTATATTTCTTCTTGGTAAGATAAATCCTGTTAGTGTATTTATTATAATTTAACCTGCTAACGAATTTCTTTTCTTTTTATTTATTTTTCGTCTAGCCTTAAAAGGTGTGTATGTTTCTAACCTATTAAATAGATATACTCACAATTTGAACTTACTTTTTGTTAATTTTGGCATCAATGGAAAGGTAATTTAAATTTTGTTTGAATGATATAATACTTTGCCCAACCCATTACCTTTCCATTGATGCCAAAATTAACAAAAAGTAAGTTCAAATTGTGGGTATATTTAACTTTTGTTTCGTCCTAATACTTATGCCGACTAGTGTACACTGAAAAAACAATTGAAACAATTGAAATTGAAAATTCAAATATATCGCTGTTTAATGTAACACAATTATAAATGCAGTATTCAGTAAATTATATACTTTCTTAAACATGATCACTATGCGAGTGAATCTACCCATCTCCGTTTGTCTGTTTGAACGCTGTGATTTCGGACACTATAAAAACTAGAACATTGAGTACTCCTATTAAGGTTCCTTAGCTTTCGATTTATCGAAAAATTGTTTTCCAAATTAGCTACTCACACTCTAACGCCCACAAAAATGTGTAAAGTGAAATTATAATATCACAAAAGTGGATATTTGAACTTTTGTTTGCTGTAGAAGAGATCGTCACTATATTTTAACCTCGTTAAGAGATGTTTTTGCTTGATATGTTTTGTAGCGGCAATAGCAACGATCTGCAAGAGTGTACAAACTTCGGCTTCCCGAAATTAGCTGCCCTTCATATTTAACATAGTTTTCTAACATATTTCTTCCCTTTTTTTTTGAGAAAATGAGTTTCCAATTGCACGAAATGGAAAATGTGCCAACGCCGGTGGAGGAGAGTAGGTCTGGTGGCCTGGATGGGCGGATCCAACGCCTGGAGGAAGTAGTCCACGCGATGAGCTCTGAGGTCAGCAAAATGAGTACGGATATGGCGGAGTTGAAGGCCGTGAACTCGGCCATTCTCGACTCGAAAATGGCACCAGTAGAGCCAATCCTAAAGGCCGACTTCCCCATCCGGTCGATAGACCATTTAAAGGAGGTGGACGAAAAGATTTACGGGAAAATGGAAAAACACGTAAGTTTCCAAAATCGAAGCGTTCACGGACAGACTTTAACAGCAATAACAACTTACATTAAGATTCGGAAACAATACAAAATTATATATTTCTTAAATCCAAAGTATACAACGCAATGTAGGAGAAGATAATTTTATGGGGCTGGAATCTTCTCCTACATTGCGTTGTATACTTTGGATTTAAGAAATATATAATTTTGTATTATTTCCGAATCTTAATGTAAGTTGTTATTCATATTTTCTAGTAATTTTTATACTTTTATTTCAGGTACCGCTCTTTAAATCCATTTTGGGGAATAATTTAATAAAAAACTTGGACCAAATAATAAGCCCTGAAGTAATCATGCAATTAAATTACAGTGGGTCTAGACATAAATATGGACTTGCAAATTTCCACAACTTAAATTCAGTCCTGCAAGGTACGTCCATTTTTATGATTAAAAACTTGGTGACGTTTACTTTGTAATAAAAAGTAGCCAATATTAGAAATAATATATTATATTATAAATATTAACCAAAGCTAATAATTTTAAATGTGTTTTTATCTTTGCAGAATCACTAAAACGGGAAGGATATTCCTTATTGGAATATATAAAAGACGTCCGGTTGGCCTTTATGCGCCAAAAAAATAAAATATATAAGGGGAGAAGCGCATTAAAGAAGGCCCGCCAGGAGCCGAACCGTACGATTCTGACTCTGAATAAGAATAAATAAATAAAAATATGAAATTGAAATCCAGTCTTATGTATGTATTCCTGGGGAAAACTTCCAGATGTTTGATTTTTGAATGCTTCTAGGTGCATTAAAAAAGAGTACACCCAGAATGTGTTTAGTATGTTGCTTCCAGGTGCATTAAAAAAGAATACACCCAGAATGTGTTTAGTATGTTGCTTCCAGGTGCATTAAAAAAGAATACACCCAGAATGTGTTTAGTATGTTGCTTCCAGGTGCATTAAAAAAGAATACACCCAGAAGGTGTTTAGTATGTTGCTTCCAGGTGCATTAAAAAAGAGTACACCCAGAATGTGTTTAGTTTATTACTTCCAGGTGCATTCCAGATATATGCTTCCAAAAGCACGCAACGGGTGCATTATTTTTTGTCCCGCACCCGTGTAAAAAGAATGGACACTTCCGGAACACCTTTTTGATGCCATTTCATAATGAAAGAACGCATGCTGGAATGCTGTCATTTACGACTGGGCAGTGCTACCAGCACAAATACAATTGCGAGCATATACTTCGATATATATGACGGCCGCAGCCAATGTTTGCAGGCAGCGCAGCCGCAAATAGCTAGCTGTAAGTCATTCATATTTTGACGATTCCCAAATAAGATCTGCCATGGCAGTTGAAACAAATTACAAATCTTTCAATTAAAATATCATAATGGCAAACATAATTGGAAACACAAAATGGCGACCGTGACAGGACACGAACCTGCAATCTTCGAATTCAGGAAGTTCTTCTGACCTCCTCTCCTTTTTCATCTTAAATTTTTTTTTTTTATTTTTATATGCATCTGCCATGCAAAACATTATATTTAACAATAATTATACAGACCAGGCAGTTTCTAGCTGCGGGTCTTAATTTTTTTTACCTAGGTAGGAATACATGTAAAATTTCATACATATATATCAGAAAATTTAAAAAAAAAATTAATTAATTAAATAACACATAAATGCCTAAGACTAAAAAAAAATAATAAGAGAAAAAGGAGAGGAGGTCAGAAGAACTTTCTGAATTTAAAAATTAAAGAATTAAATAGGCAGCTATACGCTGAAAAATCTACCCCAGTATCCTAGGATGAAAATGTAGAAATTAAGAAAGAATTAGAGAACACGTATAGGGAATTAGATGCCTACAAAAATAAAAATGATATGAAAGAGTATACGTGTCATAAGAAAAATTAAAAGATATAAAAATAAAAAGACAATATATAAATATGAATGAACATTTTTTTTTATGAAAAGTAACTCAATATCTAAAACAGATTTTGAATACGTTGTAACGAACTGATTTTGTATGTCTGCTCGCTACGAGATTCGTGCGGCTAGCTCAGAAGATTGTGTGTTCGTCCCACCAAATTTATATGACGTGACTGCCCCGTAGATCAGTGAGAAAACAATGGGTTCAAATGGCAACAGTGGGATTTATTCTCGTGGTATTGGTACAGCGGGTGTGTGGCTATGTTGGCTTCTGTATCTCCTTGTTCTGGTTCCGCCGGCTGCTGGCGCTCCTCCTTCTGGCTTGTCGACGCGTTGACTCGGCTTCCGCTTGGCTCCTGGGTCTCGGGACGCTCGTAGTGGCCGCCTCTGCTTGCTTGCCGACGCGTTGCCTCGGGGTCGCTTGTAGCGCCTTAGACCCGCAGAGAGTTCGGCCTTGTGGGCTTAGGGAAGCGTCACCGTTCTCAGACTAGGGTGAACAAGCCTTGCTCTCCAGGCTGACGCCTTTCGAGGCAATACCTGTCCCTTGCTCTGTCCCGGATGGTCCCGCTAGGTTCTTGCTCAGTTCGCGCTGACAGTCAAGGCTGCCGCCCGGAGGCTGTCTAGCGGTTCACTTCGCTTTACGCCTAGCGCAGACGAACGTTCCACCCGGCTTCACCCTAATGCGTGACGTCCGCGACGCTCCTGCGCTCCCCAATGAGCTCCGCGCAGCGATGGTAACGTGGCTGCCGGAAATGTCTGCTGGCGTCGCTGTCGATGTCCTCTGCGCTGTCTTCTGACCAGTATCTCGTTGTTCTGGCGCTCGGGGAGCTGGGCGGTCGCTGCTCGGGAACTTCGCCGGTAATCGCAGGGCTCTCCAGGCTGCCGCCTCTTGAAACCGCAAATCGATCTACCGCTCGTCCGTCACGCCAGGTCCTGCTTGGTCGGGCAAGGTACGCTGGGTCGCAGACAACTTTCCTCCCCAAGCTGACGGCTCTTCGTCGTAGGACTCTTTTGCTTGTCTCTGACAGACCCGCCGGGCGACTCGCCAGGGTGTGGTCGTGACAAAGTTAGAAAACAAACGCCTTGACTTAGCCGCGTGATGCCTTTCGGAACTCAGCCACCTGTGTCTCAATTCGGAGATTCCTGATGTCCTAATCCCGAACGTCTCGACGTGGCGATCTTGCTCCTTGTATGCTTCCCACGGCGCTGCTTCCGACGACTCGCTTGGTTGTAGCTCCCTCGTAGATTACTTGCTTGACTGATTGCTCACTTGGTACTTTGACTGATCTTGAAGGCTTGACTCCTCGTGATCGACTGATCCAGCTGCCAGCGCTCTGCGGCCTTATATAGGGCCTCCAAGCACCGTTATTTCCCTTTTGCGCACGGCCCGCTGGATCTCTCCACTCTGGGTCCAAAGTTCGTGCCTCCTGGATGACCCACTTGTCCTTTATGTACCGCTTCCAATAGATGTTCCGCCCACTGCTGCCGTTCCGCTGATTCCCGTGCCGCTTGTGGCACGCCTGTGTGCCGCTCCACTGCCGAGATGTGGCACTTCCTCTCCCGGTCCAAAGTTCACGGGAGAGTCCAAAGTCCAGTGGAGTTCCGTTATCCCCTTCTGCATACGGCACTCTTGCTCTGCCCGCGAAGTCTCCATTCTCTCTCGATCTCCATCCTTGGTCTCCAATCTCTCTCGCTCTCCTTCATTGGTCTCAAACTCTCTCGCTCTCCATCCTTGGTCTCCAATCTCTCTCGCTCTCCTTCATTGGTTCCAAACTCTCTCGCTCTCCATCCTTGGTCTCCAATCTCTCTCGCTCTCCTTCATTGGTCTCCAAACTCTCTCGCTCTCCTTCGTTGGTCTCCAAACTCTCTCGATCTCCACCCTTGGTCTCCAAACTCTCTCGTTCTTCCCGCCGCGCCGTTACTACGCGAGTTCGCCGCGTATCTGGTAAGCGGCCGGCCATCTGCTGCTGGTTCTATTTGTGGGGAGTTATTCAACTCCTCACATTCCCCCCTTACTTCGGGAAACATTTAAGACTGGTTCCTACTCTCCGGCGTTTCCTGCTTATCCTAGCCTTTGAGCCTTGTGATTCCCGCGGCGCTCCCTCGTTGCTCCCTCGATGCTCCCTCGACGCTCTTAACTCCCTTGAGTTTCTACAGCGGGGGTCATCCGCCTCGTAGCAACTTTAAATCTCCCGCGCCGATATTTCCTGTGTTCCCACTGGGACATCGATACTCCTGGGCTATCGATCCCCAGCTCGCTGCTCATTGCTGCGTCTCACTCCTTTCCGTGTTTCCTCCGCCTGGTCACACCATTCGTGCGTGATCGATATATCGCATATCGATACCGACGGTGCGGCGTTGCCACCTGCTCGTTTGCGATATTTCCACCTTGGCCGATATTTCCATTGTCGTGTGCCCATCGATCGCACTATCGTCCAGTGCCAATCGATCGCCTATCGAGGCGCCCCCTTCCCTGGCTCTGGTGATTTTGCAACTTTCATACTATGAAATTCATAGGTAAGTTTCTTTTGCATTTCCTTCACTCCTTTTCATCTCATCCTTTCGTCCTCTCTCGCCCTTCACTCGTCCTCTGTTGGCAGCATCTGACTCCACATTGGCAGCTTTTGAGAGCGGTTGCGGAGAGGACTTCGCATTCGCTTCGCAACCAGGACAGCCGGTAAGTATTTATGATGTCTTTCTGCTTCCTGCATTAAGCCCCCTTTAAATTTCAGGTTGCTGGTGCGGCCCATGCATGCCCCGTTCCTTTTCTTGTTTTTAGCCAACTGTTGGTGTGGTGCGTGTTTCTGTTTTTTTTTTGTGACCAGCTGGCTACGGTGTAGATCTGATTCTGCACCGTCCTCCCCTTTTCCTCGGGTAACAACTAGACGAGCTCGTCCGGCGCATTCCGTATAGAATCTCCGGATGCTGCGGTGTATGTCTGGACTGCGCGTCTTGTGTTGCTTGTCTCCTTCCGCGCATACTCTCTTCTACGTTACCCGTATCCTTGTGCCGTTTTGTAAGTGTCCCTTCCGCCTGGCGTTATCGCGGATGACTCTGGCAACTGCCCGACGCTGAATCCTGTTGCCTTGCGGTCGGGATCACCATCCATCCCTATCCACGTCCTTGTGCCCTACCCTTATGGTTGACCTTTCTGCGTGGCGTGTGGATGACTCTCGCTTCGGCCTGACGCCTAATCCTGTGGCCTCGCAGTCTGGATCAACGTGTGATCCTTATCCATGTCCTTGTTCTATCCTGATTGTCCTTTCCGTGTGGCGTATGGATGACTCTCGCTTCGGCCTGACGCCTAATCCTGCCGCCTCGTACCCGTTGTTAGACATCTGATGTTTCTGCTGTCTGCTCGTTTACTTGTTGCTTGAGCTCGCCAACGTGAACTGTCTTTTCTTTCTTCGACTGTGTGTGGCGAATTTTGCAGATCACTGGAGAGACGAAATCTACAACCTGGTAAGGGCCATCGTACCTCGGGGCTAGTTTTGCAGCGAATCCTTCTGCCGCTTTGGACAGGTGATGTTCCTTGGCCCACACTATATCGCCCACCGCTGGTGACCACTGTCTCCTTCTCAGATTGTAGTGTCTGGCTTGGTCCTGGGACGCCTTTTCCATATTTCGCCGCACGATCTCGAATACCTCTCTTAGTTTGTTGGCATTTTCCTCAGGGGTCTCCGTAGCTCGTCCGGTTCCTAGGGTTTCCTTATCGTATAGGCTGCTGGGTAGACGTGGTTCCCTTCCCTGGGTAAGAAACGCCGGTGTATGGCCGGTGGATTCCGATGTGCTCGTGTTCACTGCTAGCA